GCTCCATCACCACCTCCCGTTCAGCCCATTCCCAGGCCACCCCAGCACTCTGTCACCACTCAGCATGTGGGTGTCCCTGGCACACAGCCCTGCCACACGTGCTCCTCCCCAGCCCCATGCTGTCACTGCTGCTCACTCGTACCCCCGGCCGGGCCATCAGCATCCCGAGAGGCGATGAAGCAGCAGCTGATGCACATGCGGTGCCCACACATCACATCCCTCTAGGAACTGAGGTACATTTCAATCGCCACCTACATCCATATACAGATGTTAGCCGAAACATAGCAAGGAAATAGGTATTCAGGCTCATACCCAAGGCAACAAGCATATCCTGGGCTCTGGGGAGCCCCAGGCACATGCCAGGCATCTGCCCCCTTCCCTCCCCAGCAGCGGCTGCAGGATGGCAGCACAGGCCAGCCTGCTAGCAGGGATCTTCCTGCCACCAAAACTGCTACAGCATTTCCCTCCCCAGCACGCTGTGTGTTGGGCTCAGGTGCAGCTCTACCCTCCTACACTCGGGAGTGAATGAAAGCGGGGTGCGGGGGCTGGCGGGGCACTCACTGGCACAGCGCCCGCAGAGCCTCACAGATCTGTTGGAGGCACATGTGCAGGGGAGTAAACGCTACTCACCAGCTCATTTTTAGCTCCCTTGGCTGCTCAGCATCTCCTGAGAGCTTCCTCATCAGCCCTAGCTCAGAGCATCAGCCTCTACCGAGAGCAGCACTGATCTCCCCCTGCCAAAAGCTTCGTCAGGACAGGGCAGCATCAGCTGCTGCGAGGAGAAGCAGCACCAAGAGAGACAACCAAACGCCGTCAGGCTGAGCCACCAGCCCCAGGTCACGCTCAGAGAGCCATGGCAAGCCCCTGAGCTGCTTGTGCCCCCCATCACAGCCCCATTTGCCCCTCCAGTGACTGTTGAGCCCGGAGGCACAAGCGGGTCTGGCAGCAGAGGGCAGGCAGCCAGGCGCCTGCAAGCCCCATTCAGGGCCCGCATTTGAATAGGCACAGGAAGCGTTTGCCCATCGCCTTTGCATGAGCGACCCCGTGCACAGGCTGGGATGGTGCCGCACGCTTCGTACGGCTCTGATGGGGAAGGGCTGAAAGCCACCACGTTACTTGAGCAGCACTGACCTGCACTTTTGGCTCCCAGAAAGCAAGGGCAGCCCCAACGCTGGGAGATGCGCGTCTCACTGACCCGCTAACAGCGAGCGAGCGACCTGCCCTAGCAGCAGCGAGCCCAGCTGCAGAGGGGAAGCTAACCCTAACCCTAACCCTAACCCAAACGCTTCAACACACGCAGGAGAAACCCCAGCGCCACAAACCTGTGTGCACCCTGGGCCCCCTTGGGGAGGGGGGCCCCCTGCCCTTCAGCACAGAGCATGCACAGCAGCGGCTTTCCCGCTGGGCCGTGCTTCTGCCTCTCCCCAAGGACAAAGGCGGAGAGGTCGAGCGCTGCCACAGCCCCCCTGGACCCAGCCAGCCTCCTTTCCCCCCCTCTCCCCGCATTCGGTTTGGCTCCAGGCACCGTTTACCCTCAGATCCAGGACTCCCCGGAGTTCTGGGGTTGCAGGGGTGCCCCATGCTCCCAGGACCCCTTTTGCCAGCCGGATGCTTTCCCTAAGGATAGCTCTTTCACCAGTACGCGAAACCCACTCCATACAAGCACACAGCAGGTCTCTGGGGAGAGCAACAAAGGAGGGGCCTGAGAGGCATCCCCGGCTACTACGATCACTTGCAACCCAAGGCTTTGCCATGTGCCAGCCCAGAGGCACTGCAGAGGGGCACACAGCGCTCCGGGGAACATCTCTCACCCCGGCATCCCTCCAGCCAGGGCATGCGTGTCCTCCCACCGGTCCTAACCCCATGTCCTCAGCCACCCTCCCGGACAAATCCCCCGGAGGAAGCAGTCATTAAAACAAGAGGGCTACTTACCCTGCGGAGCCGATTGCCACGGAGCGCTTCCCACACGTCCAAGGCTTCACCCCACAGGACCCTGCAGGAAGCAGATCATCCTCCCGTGACCCCTGACCAAGCACCCTGCTCCACAGAGGGCACAGCGTGACAGTCACCCTCCATAGAAGCCCCCAGCTCCACAGGGCCACTCCTGCAGCCCAGCACTAGAAGGTGGGGGAAGAAGAAGGTGGTAATTGCAGGCTGGGCTGCAGCTGGGCTCAGCAATTAACACACCACCAGGCACACCTGGATGTGAAAGGGCTGTTCCCTGCGGCGCCCGTCTCCCTGGCCACAGTCACCCCCAGCAACACCAAAACAGACCAGTTCCATCCCATTCCTGCACCCTTCTCAGCAGAGGCAAGGGGCAGAGGCCCCAAATCTGGCCCTGTACGGGTGCTGCCCAGGTGGTGACGGGGGTAAGGTCCCCTAGCCCGCCTGTGGACATGTTGCAGCCTTCCCGCATCTGTGCCTCAGTTTCCCCAGGGGCAGAAGGAACCGGTTGCCACATGGGGCAGCGGGAGGATAAATGCCCTGGAGGTGGCAGGGGGCTGGTACCCAGGTGAAGGGGGCTGGCAGCCCCCGGCCAGGCAGATGCCAAGAGGTTGATGTGCCCCCAAACACGATCCCCCCCTGGGCTCGAGCAGCTTCAAGCGCTTCCATAAGGGACCCCCAGGGCCGGGTGCTCCGGAGCCGGCAGCAGCAGGACCGGCAGCCGGGATGCAGCGGGACCCGCCGCGCTCCGCTCCCCGGGAGAAGCGGCTCCCAGGCGAGAAGCTGGATCTGTGCCGCCCTCTAGTGGTGCAGCGCGGTACTGCGGAGCGGGCCGCGGCTCGCCTGCTCCCGGAGCCTTCATCCCGCGGCCACCGAGGGATGCGCTACACGGCATCGCTGCGGCCGTCCATCTGCCTCAGTGTGAACACTCAGTGCCTAACAGCCCCCGCTCTGGGGCATGTGCGACATGGAAATGAGGGCTCAAGCGTTGTTTACTCGGGCTGCGAGGGTAATTGAAGAGCGCGGAGCGCTGCTGTTTTGGCAGATGTGGCTGCTGATGGATGCGCTGCCTTTTCGGGAGCAGAACAAAGGGAGAAGGAGGCGTGTGGCTGGCTCCCCGCCAGCCCGGCCCCATCTCTCCACGTCGTCAAGTGCTCCTCTTTGGCTCCATTAGTCACCATTTGCTGCTCTCCTGTTTTAACTAATGAGGAGACATTTTGCATTCACGTTTCCTCCGGGGCCAAACGCATCCCTGGCATCGTGGAGATGGCGCAGCAGCGCTGGCGGGCTCCAGCGGCCTCCCTGCTCCTCCTGTTCCTCATCTCCTCATGTTCAGTCGTGGATTAAGCACAAGAAAGGCCAAGGCACAGCCAGCCAGATCCCATCTCCCTTGCACCTGTCTGTCCAGAGACTGGCAAAGCAAACAGGGAATAGGCAGTGCCAAAGGGAAGCTGTTCAGAGCTGGAATTCTTCCCGGAGGAAAAGGACACTCCAGTTCTGCACTATATTATTGACCCAATCCCCTTTGTGTCACAGAAAAGATTTACTTTGAGAAGATTAAAGGCTCAAGGGACTGTGAGAGAAATCCTCCAAGATTGCCTGGTTTGGGGAAGAAGATGAACACTTCATGAGGCCATGGCTCCCAGCTGACCCATGGGGCTGGGGGCACAGGGGTTTGTCCCATGGGGCACACTCCGATGGGGACCATGACCAAGCAGGGACAGGGTGGCCTTTCCCTGGGTCTTTCCCAGCTTCCCACTCCTGGGCTCAATGTCCAAAGCAAAGGGAACAGGGAGAGGGGCAGGGAGCCCTGCGCTGGCTCCCACCCCTGTGCTGCGGGCAGCGCCCCTGCCCCTGGCGCAGAGAGGCCGCATTTCCCATGCACCGTATGATCTGCTTGTGCCTTTCCCCTGCTGTGGTTCCCTGGCTCCATCCTGGAGGGGCACACAGCAAAGGCTACTCTAAAATTAGCTCAAATAACAGCCTGGCCTCCCAGTGTAACCCCCAGAGCACGTGTTGAGGTGCTGGCACTGTCCTGCTGTGCCACTGCACACCCTGCCCATGGCATAGTGCCCCAGCCCCAGCCAGGGGAGCGAGGGGCTGTGTGTGTGCACATGTGGGTGTCCACAAGCCAGGCAGAATAATGCTATTAATGCCATCTGGTGCCGAGACAGAGATCTCTTGTGCAGGGAGCCAGACATCGCTTGTCCGCCCCTTAATCTCCTCCCTTGGATGGGGGATCCTTCCCTGTGCCCTGGGGAAGATGGGGAACGCTGGGCTGCAGGATGGTGAGACCCTGCTGAGGATGGGCTCATTCTCCCTGGCTCCTTTAGGGGACACAGCCACAGAGAGCACACCTCAGTGGTCTGTGCTGTTAAACAGGCACTTTTCTCCCCCCCCCAAACGGCTGTGCAAAGCTGCAACAAGTCATGAGTGGGTCAGTGTCAAGTCAAAATCATATTTCAAGATAATCTCCTTAGGGTGTTAAATAAGCACCTCAGATTAGACAAATTGCATGGATTTGGTCTAATAACCTCCCCCCAGTTAATCCTGTTTTACTGGCAATGTCTGACCTCAATCAAAGCCCAAATGGACCAGGAGAGATGGCTTCAAGTCCACCAGCAGTGCCAGGGTGGCCGGGCTTGCAGAAGGCTGTGACACCACATCCCCCTGCAGCAGGAACCCAGGCTGGATGCACCATCCCAGCCCTATTCTTCCCCACAGAGGATGCCAGGATCAAGCACTCCAAGAAAACAAGCACGCAAGCAGCCCCACACATGCCTGCTTCTACATCCAACATGGTCCACAGCCAGCGCATCCCAAGGGAGGCATGTGCCACGGGATTGGGGCACCCACAGCCAGGGAGATCCTTCCAAGCAGCAGGGATGGCTGGAAGCAGCAATGTTCCTCCCTCTGCAAACCCAGAGTGGAGTCATCGGCTGCTCCATGTGTGCGTAGAAGCCGCTCCTGGGACTGTGTTGGAAGATGTCTGCAGGGCAGCAAAGTCACTGGTGCGAGGCCAGGAGAGAGCCCATTCAAATGCCTCAGGCACAAGGTTTAACCTCGCTCAGCTTGCACTTTATTAGCCAAGAAACGCGCTGCATCTAACACGGGGGAAAGCACGAGGGCAATTTGCGTTCCAGCCCCGTCCAGGGCGAGCAGGGTAATGGATCCACTGGAGCGGGGTAAGGAGTGGCCCTTGGCAAGGACTTTCCTGCTTTGGATGAGGCTCTGCATCCATGGTGCCATTGCAGCTCTGAAACCAGACAGAGCGGGCAGGTTACGCAGCACAGAGGCCTCCAAGCATCGCTGCCCAGCACAAGCGGACCCAGGGATCCCGGCTGTCAGCGGGGTGCATCCTCCTGCAACCTACCCGCAGCTACAGCTCTTCCTCGTTCCCTTGCCTGTGGAGCAAATAGAGATGGGTTACACTGGGCAAGGAGGCTGAGATGGGAGGGAGGAGGAGCCGAGACCCCAGCCCTTTCAGCTGGCAAGAGTAGGACAGGGAGGAGAGATGAGGCTGCCTTGAAGCCATGCAGTACCCACCTCCTCTTCTTCCCTCCACAGTGAAGTCGCTGGCCTGGGGGCGAGAGACACAGCTGAGACTTCTTGTGCCTGGAGCCTTCCCCCCCATCCCATCTCACCCCTTGTGCTGTGCTCCAGTGAAACAAGTCCTGCTCAGGCTTGTCCCCTTGCTGGGGACCACCGGGTTTGGCTCTGCAGGATGCCCTGAGCCCACCCATCTCCCTTCAGGGCTGCTGGGAAGATGTGACCCCCCTGTGCTGCCCTGCACAGCCACAAGAGCTCTCTCAGCTCTCTTTCTCCCCACGCTGCCATCCACAATGGCAAACGCTGATGGTTTCCTTATCTTTGTCCCCAAACCACTGAGCCACGGCAGTGCTGTGGCTGCGATGCTGCAGCTGCCCCTGCCCCTGGGGTGAGGCAGGCAGTGGGGTCTCTCTGGGAGCTGCCAAGCTCTGCGGGCTCTGGGAACGCTGGGGCTCACTGTGGAAATGTCAGAGCTTGCCCTGCTATTTTTAATGGGTGACCTTCCCTGCGAAGCCTCGGCGCTGGCAGGGAAACACTAAATCTGTGTGTGCTCTCCTTCCCGACCTGGGAGCCTGTCTGGCTGGGATTCGCCAGGGTGCAGGCGATGCCCTCCCCTCTATGGAGGGGCAGGACCCATGGCCCCCTGCCCCTCCTGCACCGGGCACAGGGTAAGGAGGGAGATGGGGTCAGGGCCAAGGGGAGCCCAGCCCACCCGAGGCACTTACTGAGGATGATGAGGAGCCCGACGACAAAAGCCACGATGGCAAAGATGAGCCCCCCATGGCGGATGCTCTCGTAGTCTGGGGAGGGGGGGAGCAGGCGTCAGCCGGGGCTGAGCCCATGGGCAGTGGGGGAATGGGCTGCCCTGCACGGGCTGTGCACTCACCATAGCTGAACCTGTCCAGGCCCTGCTCGGGGGCTTGCTCTGGAAAAGAGGAGAAACCCCAGTGAGAGGCAGGGCTGGGCGCTGGGCTCGGGATGGGGAGGTGACATGGGAAAGATGAGGAGTGCAAGCAAGAGCACTCCAGCTTCCTCAAGGTCCAGCTGAGCCAGTAAAGGAGTCCCAGATTCCTGGGTTTCACCCCAGGAAGTTTAAAGCCCATTCACAGGATGCCTTCACCCCGTGCCAGCCATCCGATGGCTGTGTGCCACTGCTGGAGCCACCTTACCTGAGTGTGCTAGGAGCCAGTGGAAGGAGAAGTCCCCCTGAGAATCCAGCCACCAGCCAGCACTGATGTGCCAGTGGGCTTCAGAGCTCCGGGGATTCATCCCTGTGTCTCCCCTGAATCCCCCACACCACCTTCCCCCGTGCAGGCTTCTGCATGGCAGGAGGCACCAGCCCCGCTCCCAGTGAAGGCATCTCCCCTCCCATGGCATCCCTTGGGGTGGGTGCTCCCCGCAGCTCTCTTACCGTCGCCCATCGTGTCCGTGCGTCCAGCGGGTGCCTCGCTCTGTGAGTGGGTGCCCACGGGGAAGCACATTAATTGGGAGGCAAACCTCATTAAACATTAATGGCCTCGGTGTAATGTTTATCACAGTCACGAGGGGAGGCACAGGGCTCCCGCCCGCCTTTGGGAAGGAGGCCCGGGAGGGGAGGGCCAGCGGTGGGAGGACCGGGCACCCCAGAGCCATGGGTGTCCCCATCAAAACACACCTTCCATTGCTTTTGGAACACCAGGAACCTGCCTCACCTCCCAGTGCAGAGCGCACAGGTACGGGCTGTGCCTGCCTTTTCCTAGGGAGAAGTGGGCAGCACACCCTGTCCCTGCAGCCTGGCACCGAAGGTCCCTGTGACAGCCAGGTCAGTGCCTCCCAGCATAGCATCGAGCCACCCCGGGCGCCCTGAGCACCCCAGCACAGTGCGCTGCATCCCTGCACTGCATCCCTGCGCAGCAGTGGGTACCAGGATGCTGCACCCCTCGGGGCTGTGCCAGCCCTGGCAGCGAGGCAGGCTGTTCAATCCGGTTTGCTCTAATCTCACCATCAGCAAGCAGGAATCATGTGCCCAGGCAGCACCTCAGCTCCGGCACCATGGGGTGAATGAAGCCAACCCCCAGGAGGGTGATGTGTGGGGCCGTTCCAGCAGCCCTCTTGTTCCAGAGCCTAAGCAGGGCTCAGCATCCCCTTGGATCTGCACTATGGCAGCCAGAAGCTCCCAAAGGCCGAGGGATAAGGCAGCTCTGTGAGGCTCATGCGCTCCCATCACAGGGTCCCTGGCTGCAGGAAGGAGTTGCCCACCCGCTCTCCAAAGGGCCGGACCCTCAGCCCCTGCCCTGCTCCCCTGGAGCCCTTGAGACGCCGCAGCCAGGCACCGATAGAAAGGGTATTTATTCCCTTCCCCGCCCCCGGTCACAGCACCGAGCACCCCAGCAGCACACTCGCCTATTTAAAAGGAAACACAATAGCTCGGTTTATTGTAGACAGTCAGGATTTTGCCATTTCTACACACCACAGGGATTGCTTTGTTCCGTGTTAACACCGACGGCACACCACAGACAGCACGGGCGCTGCTGACAGGGCTGGGCTGCGCGGAGGCAGGACTCTGCAATGGCCAGGAGCAAGGGAAGGGGCAGCCCAGCCTGCAGGCAGGGCCACCAGTGGGGTGGGCACAGCAGAAACCCCTCTCAGAACCATGCTGGCAGCCAAGAACCCTTTCCTGGTGCATGGAGAGCACTGGTATCCGGGCTGCCCCTGCTTGGCAAGCACCCACAGCCAAGCCAGCAGTGCCCAGCCACAGCTGAGGCTGTGGTTTCCATGCACATGGGCTTGGGGAAGGGGCCTGACACAGATTTGCCTGCTGGGACCCTCAAGCAGACACAAGGTGATGATGGCTCCATCCCCACTGTGCAAGCTCAGGCATGCAAAGCCCCTGAGCATCGCCCACTGATGCTTGCTCCATGGGGAGAAGGGGCAGTGGCATCAGAGTGCTGACAACACGTAACTGCCACAGGACGACATGCAGCACTGACACGGGTGGCCATGTCCTGGGCCATGGCACACAGAGTGACAAGGCATCAGGAAGGGCAGGGAGCACCAGGAGGAAGCACCGGAGACAGGCAAGGGCAGGCTCCTGATTTCAGTGTTTCTGTTTAGCCCTCAGAGACTGTCCAGCCTGCCCAGCTGCGGCTGGTGGGCAGGCAGAGTGATGGCAAGGAGCTGGGTTGTGCTGGTAGCAGGGTCACCGCTGCGCAGCCGCCCTCTTTCACAGCATCACCGTGCTGGCGGGGGGACGTCACAGGCTTCTCTGCCTCAACAGCGCTTCCTCACACTTAAAGCAGTGTCCCACAGCGACGGCTTGGCTTCAGCCGGGGACAGAAACGGGCAGTGCCAAACAGAGAGAGGAGAGCTCCCTTCAGGGAGAGCCCAGGGGACTGGGGGATGTCCCTGCCTGACTGCACTGCGGCTCCCTCGGGGCAGGAGGGTTATTGCTGAAACAGCAGCGTGTGGTCCAGAGCCTCGCTGGGCAGGACCCTGACCCACTGCGGGACTGGTCCCCGAGCCCTGCCCAAAGCCTGGCACAGACATCACCGTGCGGGCTGCACCGAGCACCCCCAGCTATGGGCAGGGGGACACGGGGCTCCCCTTGGGCAGCGCCTGCCAGTCCTACACGGCCCGAGCCACACACACAGCACGAGAAAGGTGAAGAGAAAGTCACTATGACAACATCAGCAACGACTAGCCCTAGAGGTCATGATCATCTCACATCAACATTACACAGCACTGGAGGCAGAGAGGACGGTGAGTTTAGTCGGGTTAGTAAACAGAGAACCGGTGCTGAAGTACAGAGGGTAACACAGACACAGCAGCTTCGCATCTCCTTAGAGGGACCTGCTGCTGCCGTTTCAGTTTCCTCGCAGGCCGCTGGCATCTGCAGTCCAAGCATCTGTCCTCGGGTCTCTGGCTCTGCGTGGGAAGGAGAGCAGTGAGTCAGGCTGGGAGCAGCACCAGCAGCACAAACCATGCTCCCACCAGCACCGGCTCCAGACTGCCCTGCTGCAGGCTTGGGGAAAGCCTGGTGCAGGCGAGGAGCGAGATGCCCCAGGGACTCGCAATCAGCTCTCTCCAGAGGCCCTAAAAATAAACCCACGTTGGGTGGAGGAGCACAGGGGAAGGAAGTGCAATGCAAAGGAAAACCTGGACAGATGCTTCCCTTTCCTGCTGGGCTGCCTGGGGCTTTGCCTGGGGTGTGCTGAGCCCTGGCTGCTCCTCCCTTCCTTCCCCGCACTGAGGCAGTGACAGCCCCAGTGCCACCACACACAGGCTGGCCAGGGCCGGGACTCACCGCATGGCTCTGCTCAGTTCTCCGCCTTCGGTGCTCCCGTTGCTGCAAAGGGAAGAGCAGAGTGGTTTGGAGTGCTCTGAGGGCATGGGTGCAGTGCAGCAGCAGCAGAGCATGCACAGGACGGGTGACCTTACCGTTTGAGGTGATCAGGTTCTCAGCCTGAGCCTCTTCATCCCCTGGAGCTCTGCAAGAAGAGGAGCACAGTGAGAGGCTGGGACCTGCACCCCATTCCTAGGGGTGGGATGCCCAACAGTGTAGGGGCACGACAAGGAAGGAGCCCTGGAGTGTGCGGAACTGATTTGCCACCCTGCAGCATTGCAGCAGAGCTTTGGGTACCAGGCACCCGAAAGGGATGCTGAGAGCACACAGCCACCCTGCCAGCTCTGGGAGGGAGCCAGGAGGAGCTGAGCACCGGGCAGAGAGCTTCACCAAGGAATATGTGCCCTTCCAGGCTGCTCTCCCTCACCTGGGCTTCTGGTTGAAACTGCACCTGCATCTCCTGCCTGCAAGGGGAGAGAAACACCATGAGCACAGCCAAAGTGGAACGGAGCAAAGCCTTTCCCAATGGCCACTATAATGGCTCCCACTGCCCCAGCCCGCAAGCCCAGCATCCCCTGGTCCCCAACTTACTGAGTATAAGGAGAATGCCCACAGTGAACAGGACCACAGCAAACACCAGCCCCCCGATCCTCAGGCTCTGGTAATCTGCGGGAGAAGACACAGGGGCTTGCTCCTGCTGGGTTCAGGGACAGGGCCGCCTTTTGCTCCCCATCACACTGGCCAGCACCCCCGTCCCCATGCACAGTGATGCTCACCATAGTTAAAGGGGTCCTCCTCCTTCTCTTGGGTGGCCACTGAAAGAAGCAGACAAGGGGTGGGAGGTGAATGCTTGCCCTGGCTGAAGCCCTGCAGCCCCAATAGCCCCCAGCCAATGCAGGCACTCTGCTCCCCAAAGGGCTGCTGCCCAATGCCCAATTCCAACCCCTTGGATCAGAGGGGCTGTTGTCCTCCAGGTCCCTGCAGCCTTTTCCCATGCCCCTGCCATCGCCAGCATGCGGGAAGCACTTGGCACCTACCATCTGCCACGGCTGCCGGCACCAGCAGGGAGCACAGGAAGATGAGCACTGCTTCCATGGCTGCTGTGAGAGAGGGAAGAGGGATTCAGCACGGGGGTGGTTGATGGAGGGTACCATGATGGGGCTGGGTGCATGGTGGGGGACTGCAGGCAAGCCCTTGCAGCCCACGCCATGGGATGAGGAGCCAGGCTGGCCCTGGAAACACCGGGAGCCCGGCCAGGATACCTGGATACAAAGGAGGTGAGGGGCTGGAGCAGACACACACGTCCTGTGGGGTTCTGTGGTGTGTTTTCAAGCACCTCTGCACCGCTGGCTCTGCTCCTTGGTGCAGTCTCAAGGTTACACTGCAGGCAATGGGGCCAACACAAGGGCTGTGATCTCTCAATCAAGGTCAATACTGTGCCCTTCAGCCAGAGCATACTTTAATTTGTCCCAATTAGCATAGCAATTACAGCACATTCCCACAATGAGGCCAGTGGCCCTGATGGGACATGAGCTCACAGCCACACTTGCCCCTTGGCTCCTCACACTCAGCTGGAGCAGAGCTGAGCTTGTCCCTTCACCAGCATCAACACACTGCTCTTGTGCAGGGGCACCAGAGGGCATGGACCTTTCCCCAAGGGATGCTAGCCTGGTACAACAGCGCTGTGACCAGGCTGGGATTCACGTCTCTACGCCCCAAGCTGCTGACCCATTTGGGATGGGCACCCTTGCTGCTGGGACTGGTCACCACCAGGCACCGCTGCTCTGCCAGCACACACAGTACCCATTAACTGGCCCTGACCGTGCTTTCCCCTCCTGCTGAGGGGACAGGCAGGGCTGGCTGCTCTGCTCCTGGTGCTGCCTCCGTGCAGCGCACACCTTGCCGGGAGGACAGGGCTTGGCAGGAGCATCTCCTTTAAGGGAGCAAGCAGGGGGCTCTGAAGCATGGATCCGGTCGGGCTCTGCCTCCTGCAGCGTGTCCCTGCGCTGCTCCCAGGCAGCCACCCAGCACCCGCCAGCAGGGCTCGCGGCCATACATGGTGCGGGAGCACCAAGAGGTCTCGCTGCTGGCACAGGAGATGGAGGGGGGTTATCGGGCGCCCTGCACAGCCCTGATAGCACCGAGTGCTACAGAGCGGCTGCAGCTGCCGCACTGGATCCGTGCCGATAAGAAAGGGGCCCTCGGCAGAGCAGGAATTCAGCTCACTGACGGATGCAGATCCCTGGCGTGCTGCTGTTCAGCCCCTCCGGAGCCTGACCTGATTTGGATGCAGCCTCCATCCCAGCCCACCCCAGCAGCAGGCTCCTCAGGGCACCAGGTCCATCCTGACGCGGCTCCTTGCCCCAGTTCGTGCTGTGAAGGTGCCCAGGAGCAGCACACATGGAGGAGCACCAGCCACCCTGCCCCAGCGGCCCCAGCAGCGCTTTGCTCCATGGCTGTTCTCCAGCTCCCATTGTGCCTGCGGAGGGAGCAGCCTCCATCCCCACGCTTCCAGAACCTGATTTATTCACCATAACAAGTTGCGTCCCATGATAATTCCCGTCCCTCCCTCCCCTTCCATGTGCTGTCATTTGGAAGTCAGGGTGTTTTATCTGCACGCTGGAGGGTTTAATTTCCCTTGCCTGCAGCTGCCGCTGCCATTGTGTGGCGCGGGGCCGCACTGGAGCGTGCCGCTGGCTCCCGCACCCAGACAAGCCCCCTCGTTAGCCGAGGCACCTAATTCTGGGTAATTACCAGGCCTTAGAAACACGTACAAAGCACCCAGCAGCTGCTGGTACTGTAACTTCTAGCTGCACATTTCCCTGCGTCCTTTATCTCACGTCCTTTATCTATTTACTGCCAAGGCTGCCAGTGCAAAATCAGTGTCATTACCCGATAGCGGGGTGTTGTACGCGCACAAGGAGATGCAATGCAGCACGTGCCGCTGCCAGATGAACGGTATTAATTGGCTCTTGGAGCATATTAACGATGCCTTTATGTTTTGAACAAACCATTCATCAGAGCTTTACAGTTCATTTGGCTGTTATTTGACTGCTATTGTAGCGGCAGCTCGGTGACACCCCCTGGAGAACACACTCGGGGGGGGGGGGGTTGCATTATGCACAACGCCCTGCCCTGAACCCCACCACATTCCCATGGGGTGAGCCCTCCTGCCTGTAAGGTGCAAGTGCAGGGGCAGCCCTGGCTCTCCTGGAGGCAGCAGTTCTCACCCATCACCCTGCATCCCAAGTCACTCATCACACAGAGCCATCCACCCAAACACCTCTTGTCTCGGGATGCTCCCACTGACATCTGAAAGATGCTTCCCAGCACAGGAGCCGTGCTGCCAACTGCCTGGGTGTGTTTTGCCAGCTCTAACATCTCTGAGCTCCAGAACCAGCCCATGGCTTCACCACTGCTCTCCACATAGCCCAAAGAAGGGGCCAGTGCTGGGGCCCTGCTCAGCCACGGATGCTGCTTCCAGGCCTCTGGAAGCTTTTGGCTTCTTGCACTTGGTGCGGCAGAGCTCACTTTTACACCAAGCCCAACGCCCAGCGCACAGCACATAGCACACAGTGCACAACTCAGAGCACACAGTGCACAGCCCAGAGTCCAGAGCACACACATGTTCTTTTGTTTTCTAACTCAGCTCCTAAAATGCACACACTTCCACTCGCTGGAACTCCTCTCTGCACGAGTTAACCATCAGGGCTGGCAGTGGCCTTGCTCACAAAACAAACACAGCATTCTGGAGCGCAAACCAGCCCGCCTCTCCCCTCAGGAAGCACATGCCTTGTGAAGCACTATAGGCTTTTGGGTTGTTTCAAGCTGGCCCACCCACTTCTCATGAAGCTGAAATCGAGTGAGAGGAGCAAACACTGCAAAGGGGTTGTGGTGCTCCCCGCTTGTGCGTGCAGACTGCAGCGCTCAGGGCTCCTCTCATCCCGAATCCAGTGCAAAACCAGCCCCATGAGCCCATTCCTCCCCACACTGCTCTGCTCAGCACAAAACTGTTTTCTCCCGATGAGCCACCCAAGGTTTGCAGTCCGTCACCCGGCTGAGGAGCCACACGCCCATGCAGACCGCAGGGAGCAGGCAGCGCAGTGCACATCGCATGTGACTTGAATCAAAACATGGCTTTTTCCTGTTGAAACTGCAAGATCTGCCTAAACACCGAGAGAGGAGGAGCTGCACAGGAAGCGGGGCTCTCCCGGAGCTCTGCTCCCCTCTCAACCCAACCTCAAGTTTTACTAGGGAAAGCCAAGTCTTTACCCCCCATCCCTATCTGCATGGCTGAGTGAGAGCGAGTGCCAGGTAGAAGGCATCAGGCACTTGGGAGAGGGCCCCAGGGAAGGAAGCAGTAACACAGACCAAGGGAGTACGTGGAGTTTGCTGTCTGGGGGCTGGGCTGTGCTATCACATCCTGCCTCTCTGGTACGATGGGGATGAGACCAGGGCCATCCTCACCACTCCCTGCCTCCATGGAGCTTGGGGCTTCAGGTAGCCGGAGCTGGGAGCCACCAATCCCCATGCACTGGAGCCAGATGATTCACTGCCCTGCTGCCCCGTGCCAAGCTGATGGATGACATGCTCTGCTCCATGCAAGGCACAGTCACAGCTCTCCCTTCTGGATAATCCAGCCCTGCCATTCTGCATGCCACTGGGTTAGTGTGTGTGCGTGCGAGACGGAGGAGCAGGGGAAATCCAAGCAGACAGACCCAGTCCCTCCTGCCCACCAATCAGCTCTCCATAGCATGGCAAATCATACCAGAGCAAGGCAGGTAAATCTGTAAGAGCGCTGAATCTCAACATCCCCTTTTCCTTTCATTGCACAGCATAGATCTGCCCTGTCGAGTCTCAGCCATCACAGCACAACGCCAGGCAGCCTCCTCCCTCCGTCAGGAGTCCTCAGGGCATCTCCCAAAGATCAGACCTAGTTACAATCTCTGGTTTCAGTGCAAAGCCCCCAAGACCGTGACAGCAGTGCTCAGTTGCCTGGAGCATTTGAGGGTGTGCATGTGTGAATGGACGTTTCCAGCTATGCAGAGATGTGCTCTTCTGCCATTTCACGTCAGCATCAATCTGACTATTAATGTGCCTGTTGTTGTGCTCCGTGGTCCTAAATGAGAGAGAAGAGAGATTTCCAGCCCTTGCCATTCTGATATGGACGGCACTCCCCAGATTTGGTGCTGATTCAAAGGCTGACCAGATGGAAGACGCAAAACTGCCTTTATTGCCTCTTGCAGGTTTGAGGTATCCCACCAGAGCAGAGGTTGCTCAACAGAAACCCTGTCCAGGAGCCCTAAGAACTCAGACTTTAGCCCTGCTTCTGCTGAATGAGACTCACTGCATGTGGATCCCCATGGACCAGGCCTGAGGGGGTCAAGGCTTGCAAGAACACGGGATCACAGGGAATCACTGAACACAGCTACAGGAGGCTCTAAGTGCTGCATCCTTCAACTGTGCCCCAGCATTACACTTGCCTCTTGCACGGCTTCTTCCAGCCCCGGGCAAGTGGCCCTAGAACATGAAGAAGCCATAGCCAAAGCTGCCCGTCTGCATCTGCCTCACACAGAGTCCCCAGCTCACCCCAAGTGAGACACAACAGGCACAGAACTTCATTAGAGACAAACCATGACAGCGGAGCTGATGGCTGCCTGGCAGTGCCGGCATCAGGAGAGCAGGCAGGGAACCCAGCCCTGGGCTCCAGGGAAGCAGAAAACACCACCTCCCGTCAGGGCTCTGCTGCTCCTGCTCTCTCCTTGTTTGCTGAATGATAACTGGATGCTGTAAACCTGCCCCGTATCAGCACAACAGGAAAACAAGCCAGACACACGCAGAGGTTACCTGGCAGTGAGAGAAATCCAGATCATCAGAGAACACTGAACCAGCAGTGGAGGAGAAGCTGCTTCAAGCTCCCGTGTGTCCTGGGGTACCACAGAGCCGCCACGCTCAGCAGTGTCAAGGAGCAGACATGTTCTCCATTCTCTGCTGTTGCCATCAGTCATGACCAGAGCAGGAGCAGACTCAGCTCCCTGCCAGGCACGGCCGCTGCCTGTGCCAGCACCGCTGCGGGGGCACAGCCCCTCAGCAGGATGGCTCCATGCTGCCCAGTGGGAGCGGTGCCCTCCCTGTGCTCGGCTGACACAACAGCTGTGGAGCTCAGCAGCCTCTCTGCGCCTTGGAAACCAGCGTGAAAAGCAAACACAGGGGAGCAGCCTGACCCGGAGATGCCAGCTCGCTGGGCTGGGCTCAGCACCAAGGTCTAAACTGACGGCAAACCCATGACTCTCCATGCCAGTTTACCTGAATGGGTAAGATTCAAGGATGTAGCTAAAACTCCAAGGTGAGCGTGGCACACAGGGGGCAACGAAGCCGCCCCACACGCAGGGGCATTCTCCATGCTCTAACAAGTGGTTGGGCTCTGCAGCGGCTGCACTTCACTGGCAGCTATTCCATCACTCCACCTCGGAACCGTGCTCAGGCTGCATGCAAACAGGGACTCTCTGGGCTTGTCTTCATTTCAAACGGGAAGTGATAATACCCAAAGGGACTGAAAATCACAACAGGACCCAACAGGAGGTCGGAGCAAGGCGGGCTCACTGAAATGGGTGCAGCGGACTGCTTCAACTCCTAATCCATACAGGGCTTTTCCCGGGAGGCTGCTCTTTCGTGCTGCAAAGCTTGTTCACATCCACACAAACCACCTGTCACTTTCCCTCCCACAGAAATATTCCTGTAAGATCAGAGATTCCACCACATGGACTCTGCTATCTGTTTCTTCAGGCAGCATTAATTACACACCCTGAGAGACACGCTCTTCCTTCCCTCTCGTAAGCCTTCCTGAGATAAAGCACTCCACTGTTTATGTATTGCTACGATGCTACTAAAATATTTAACAACACAAGGCAGAACGCTGCCAAAAGCCTGGGGAGGAGGATTACCTCCCTGCTCCATGACATCCCTGCGCGCCACGGAGCCCGGCCAGCCCGGGAGCACCAGGGCAGGCAGAGCACACCCGGGCTCTCCCACCCACCGTGGTCTCCAGTGGGGACCGCTGGTCGGCAGGGGCATCCACCCAGCACGGGGAGGGGGGGCTTGTAACCAGGCAACGGTGGGATGAGGAGAACCATGGTACCCGGTGTTGCCATGGCAGCCGCCTGGGCGGGGGCTGCGGGCGGCCCCGGGCGCAGGGCGATGCCCCGGGGGCACCGGGCCGTGCCCCCAACAGCCGCGGCCCCCCGAGCCGGGCTGTGCCGGGTTCACCGCGCCAGGGCTCCCGACCCACCCCGTGCCGCCCGCTACCGCGGAGCCGTCCTCTCCCGGGAGCAACGGCAGCGGCCGGACCCACCTGAGCTCTCCGCGCTGGAGCGGGCGGCAGCGTCGCTCTGGGCCGGGCCGGGCCGGGCTGGGCTATCACGGCCCGGTGCTCCGGGCGGTGCCGGGTGGGAACGAAGCGGAGCGGGCAGCGTGTGCGCAGAGCGGGGCTGCTGCACAAAGGGGAGCGGAGCGGGGCGGGACGAGGCGGTGCCTGCCGCCGGCGGGGGGGCGCGGTCAGCCCGGCACGGCCCGCCCGGGAGAGCGCGGATGGGGCCGCGGTCCCCGATAGCAGAACGGGGGCCGCCCCGGAGCGCCCCTGCACGGACCGGACGCCGCCAGAGACGGGGCTCGGGGCGGGAGGGACGTGCCCCGCTGCAGGAGGGGTCCGTGGGGCGGTGGGACCCGCAGGAAGGGCGTGCGGGGCGCAGGCGGGGGGGGAAACGCTCATCAGGGTGGGGAACATCCGTGTCCGCACCCGAGAGCTGGACTCAGCCCGCCTTGAGCATCTGGTGTGGAGGCAGCGGGAGAAAGCAACTGAGCAACAGGCTGCCGGAGCTTCCGTGAGGTTGATAGAAAGGCTGTGGAGATAAACTGGTAAACATGGTGCAGAAACTTCTCTTTTTGCTTCAGGAGCAGAAGGGTGTTGCTGGGAAAGGGCTCCCCGCTTCCAAACCATGTGGCCAGTTCGCAGGGCTTAAGTCACGTTGCTCGGTCACATTTAGGGTCACACCTGCTGGGCGCAGGCAGCTGGGGTTGGTTTGGTGGTGCTAGAACCTAGTTTGGCTTCAGGTGAGGTCAGGACCTGCATTGACTCCCCCAGGTCCAGCTGCAGAAAACCAGACCCTTTAGGGCTCAGCCGGAGCAGGTCAGGAAGCAGCAGATACTTCCGTCAAGACAAAGCGCAAAGAGAAGGCAAGGGCTGGGCACACTGCTGCTGTCACTGAACTCAGTGGAAACCCGCCAGTTTGTTCCCATGGGACAGCTGGGCACATTGGGAGGAGCAAGACCCGGGAGGGAGATGTGTTTAATATAGCCCTGCAGTCCCCAGAGGGAACGCGTGTGCCTGGCCAGCCACAGCAGGGAGGGGAGCCCCGGCCCTGGCCCTGCTTGGAGCCACTCACAGGCTTCGGCCAGGGCCAGATGTGGCTGTGGGCATCTGCAGCAGGGGCACAGTTTGCTGCTGACCACAGCACCGAAACAGGGGCTCAGTCAGCGTGTCAGAGGGGGGCAACTGAGGGCACTGCTGGGCACAGCAGAGTGCTATGGGGGACACCGCTCCTGCTGAGCCAGGCTGGCACACCCCTGCCTGCTTGGCTCCTGCTGCTGCCCTGGAGAGCCATTTCTTCTTGTAAAAACACCTTAGTGATGCTCTCATCACTGAGCTGGTTCATTCCTTAATAACTCAAATGCATCTTAGATAGGAATCAGGCAATAATGACATGGAGTCCATTGTACATCCATTTCCCTGTTTCCAGTAAAATATAAAAGGAAAATAAACCAGCACTGGCATTTCAAGGCAATTATTCAGAAGGGTGAAGAGATACAGAGCAACAGAGAGGAGCTGGACTATGTCAAGTCTCCTTTAATATGTAGGGATAACAGGATCAGGCTGTCCGTTAGGCTGCAGGGAGCGAGGCAGGGATCAAGCAAGTTATAATGAAGTTTTGGGCTTCTCTGACCTTACCTGCTCCTCAGCTGTTGTTGAAATAGAGACCCCAGGGTGAAGGTAGGGAGTGAAGGGTCCTCTGTGCTGCTCCCATGGAGGGACAGCAGCTCCAGCAGTTGCTAATGGCAAACACCTCATCTGCAGAGAGAGAACTGTACCAAGCCATCGTTTATTTACCGGCAAAATTGGGCCCTATCTTTTCTGGTGTAGTGTGGGCTAACAGCCCCGAGGCCAGGCGGATGATGCTGAGCTGAGCTCCTCATGCTATCTGTGTCAATAGGAGCCATGGGGCAGACATCTCCCCCCTGTGCAGTGATGCCTGGCAGGGAATAGGGAAAGGAGCCCCTTGCTCTCCAGAGCTTTCCCCTTCAGTTTTAAGGTGTTTCCCTTCTAACACCAAGCTTGCAAACTGCTCTTTCTGTGGCAATGCAGCCCTGAGCCTGGTCAGGAGAACCGAGCACTGCCAACAGTTGTGTGTAGCCATATGGCTGCGTTTAACCCAATAACATCGTTTTGCATCAGCCTAAGTCATTCCCTGTGCTCGGAACAACCACCAGCGAAGCACCAGACCGTGCTGGAGCTGCTGAGGGCTGTGTTCCTTAGGCCAGCGCAGCCAGGGTGGGTGTTGCACAAGCTGGAAGTCCAGCGACTCCGTGCCAAGTGATGATGTTACTGCCTGTGGAAGGGAACCAAGCCGAAACCATGGAAAAAAACATTTTTGTAGAGAAACATCATCTCTGAAACGCTGTAAACAGAGCAGTTGGACACAACAGAACAAAGCGCTATAAAAGGAGAGGTTGGGAAGAACGGCTGCTAATGGGCGGTAATTCACATGGTGCCCGCCAGACTGCGTTTTTGGCATTCACAGCCCTTGGGGACACTGGCCTGTGATTTCCAAAGCACAGAAGACTGGAAACAGGCAGATGTGGGGCCACACTCAGGGCCCCTCATCTCAGCACATGCCCCAGAGCAGCTTCATGAGAAACTGATCACTGTCTAGAAACCTTCATCCCCTGGGAAAACCCAGCACACCTTGCTGTGGGGCTGGCAGGAAACACCAACGGGTGTTTAGAGAAGTAAATTCATTTGTTCTAAGGGCTGAAATAATTTGTCTGCTTTGAGACTATTTCAGAGAGAAGAAGGGCAATAACCTGTGAGATTCACAACAGAGGAGCCGGTCCTCCAGGTGCTGAAATAGCATCATTACCAGGAGCATCCATCTCTGTTCTGAGCTATGGGCAGCTTGTTGCCAGCAGCAGGTTCTTCCCCCCAACTGGCTGAGCAGCAGAGGCATTATGAAGTGAGAGCAGCCCCTTGTCCTGGGCTGGAGGCTCCCAGATGCCGTGGGAGGTTTCTGTGCTGCTGCTCCGACAAGCAGCTTTGAGGTCAGGCTGACTCAGTGCTTCCCAAAAGGCAGCGACTCTCATTGTTTGGGGCAGCCACCAAGCACCTCCCTGCACACTGGGGCCTGCTCCAAGTCCCAGGGAGGGCTGGGTGCTTTCTGCACACACAGATCCAGGCTGGACCTGCTGTCCCAACACTGAAATGCAAACCACAGCACCCTGCCTGCAGCTAACCTTTTCCACAGCAGGCAGCCGGTTCTAGGAACCATGGGGATGCTCCCGGTAGGTGGGATGGGGACGTGCCTACAGCAGCCCATGCACCCATCTTTACATCTCCAGAATGCTTATGAGAAATGAGCCCTCCCAGGCCACAAAGAGCCCAGTGAATAATGGAATGGTTGGGGTTGGAAAGGACCTTAACATCATGGAGTTCCAATGGCCACACTAAGGAATGCAGGTCAGAAGCCAGGCTGCAGAGGTGGGCATCACACTCCCATGCAGGGGAGGGAAGGGAGCACCACAGCTGGAGCTGACGCAGACAGGCTTGTGAAGCAGCTTTCGACTACTTCAAAGGGAGCTCCCCAGAGCACCAGTCCCTCCTTTAAAGTCCCCAGCTGCAAGAAGATGGGTTACAAAGAACCAGCACAAGCAACCTTTCCTCCTCCCAAGGAGGATTCGATGCTAAATGCTCATTACTGCCAGTCCTCTGACACAGGCCAATTGCAGAGGCTGTGCAGCCTCCCCAGGGAAGTGTTTCATCCTGCTCCACAGCATCCACAGAGCCCTTCCTGCAGCTCCCGTGGCATCTGGGCACTCCAAAAGAGCCATCTCCACACAGGGCACTAACAAAACATTTATTGAGTGCAGTGGCCAAGCACCCCAGGACCCCTCTGCCGCTGACCACACATCTGGGACAGGAGCCTCAGCAAGGGCAGCAGCCTCTGCTCACCCAGCAGGCACTCGCACAGCCAACCTGGAGGTCTCCCATAGCTTCAACAGGGAGATGCCAGCACTTGTTTCCTTGGGGTTAATGTGTCCCCGCTCTGGCGTGGCCAGGGAGGTAACGGAAGACATCCAGCGTGGTCAATG